CACACACACACACACACACACACACACACACACACACACACACACACGGTGAGAGAGAGAGAGAGAGAGAGAGAGAGAGAGAGAGAGAGAGAGAGAGAGACATAAATAAAAATTAATCTTGGTGCTGGGGAGATGGGAACCAGTTAAGAAGTTAAGAGCACTTGTGGCTCTTGCGGAGGAGTCAGGTTCTGTTCCCGGCTGCCATATCAAGTGGCTCACAGCCACCTGTAACTTAGGTTCCAAGGGATCCAACACCTTCTTCTGGCCCGCAGGTGGCACGTCTTTGTATAAATTCTTCATCTGCCGAGCACACAATGGACAGCTACTGAACCCAGATGTTCTGAGTACCTGAGAAATCTTAGTGAGCACATAAAATCGTGGGATGTCAGAAGTTAACTCCAGGCCGCAAACTGTATGATGACCACACCTCTGATGTGAAATCCTGTGAGGTGCTCCATTGATTCTTCACCACTCATGGCTGATGACCACACTGATAGAGAAATAGGCAACCTGTACCGAGCTGGTGGTGAAGACCTGTAATCCCTGCTAGGAAGAAAGGCAGAAACCTGTGAGATTCTTCTGAGGGTTGAGCCTTAATGGTCCACTCCCCGTTTCTTCTAAGGTGTGGAGTTATCAGTTCCGAGAGAAAGACGGGCCTGTCTCATTCAGAGGCCAGCTCTCAGAGAGGAACCACAGGCTCACACCCTCTCGGTGGGTCAGACCTTCCTTAGCTGTCATTATGAAAGAAACCCAGTGAATGAAAATCTACTGCTCGCTGCATCCGTTATTGAGTGGACGGGGGTACCAAAAACTCTGGGCTAGAGAGGGAGATCTGTTATGTAATAAAGTTGTTCTCATTTAGATGAAAACAGAGTGTTTATGGTTAGCTGGGCGGTGGTGGTGCACGCCTTTAATCCCAGCACTTGGGAGGCAGAGGCAGGTGGGTCTCTGTGAGCTCGAGGCCAGCCTGGTCAACAACATGAGTTCCAGGACAGCCAGGGGCTATTACAGAGAGAAATCGTGTGTGGAAACAAAACAAAACAAAAAGAGAGTGTTTACAGCTGAAGGAGGAAGCTCCTGTAATAATCTGTAGACAGGATGCCCAGCCGCCTGCATTAGCTCTCACTTAATCCACTACGCTACACAAGCCCCCAGGTAACCACTTTAGCCGCTCTGACCCACTGTCTTCCTCTAAGGCCAGCCACATGCACGTCAGCACCATCCTGTCAGGTGCCTGGCAGGTTGCCTAATACCCAGAAGACACTGACATTTGTTTCCCTTGTTCTGGGTAAAAAAAAAATTAAAAAAAAGCACATAAGGCAAAGAGGAAATGGAACAGCCCTTGTGAATAGAGCCCTGAGCTCTACAAAGGCCTCCTCACTT